TGCTTAGGGTGGTTCTCTCCACCCCACAAGAGCACAGGGCTTTACTGCGATCTGCCTTCAAGCTCAAAGATACCAAAGTTAGGGTGCTGGTAGTTCGTGAAAGCTGGGCTGAAGCCGTAGACAGTGGATATGCGGTAGTCGTGGTGTTCATTGACTTCGCCAAGGCCTTTGACACTGTCCCCATTCGTGACTCTCACTGAAGTTGAGGTCTTATGGAATACCTGGTCGCGCTCTTCAGTAGGTGTCAACTTTTCTGGATGGACGGGAACAGTGTATTCGTGTGGGAAGCAGTCTTTCGTTTCAACAAGCTGTCCTTAGCGGCGTTCCGCAAGGCTCTCTCCTAGGTCCACTGCTGTTCACAGTCTAAGTGAGTGACTTGCCGGGGGAGCTTGAGGTACCATCGCTCTTATTTTCTGATAACCTAAAGCTCTGGAATTTTGTTGATATCCATGGAGAGTTTGTGGCTCTTCAACGAACTCTGAATAGACTGCTTGCTGCGCATAACCCGGGCAGTGTTCAGTGCTGCGTACTGGAGCATGTGATTCATCCACGAGTTGTGCTCAATGGGAGTGAGCTTCCTCACGCGGCTCATCAGGTTGATCTAAGTGTCGTCCACTGTTCCACACTACACTCTGGAGACAAGTGAAAGAAGGCGACTAGTAAAGGGTTCCGTCGTTCTTTCGGGACCCTAACCTCTAATATCTTTGTGAAGATCTTCTCAGCGTTCGTGCAACCCCACTTAAGCTATTGCGTCCAGGACTGTCCACCATGCCTTGTCCGGGACAAAATGGCATTAGAAAGGGTGTTTCGTGTCGGTACTAGGTTGGTCAAGAGATTACGAGGACAAACCGTCGCAACGAGACTGGACCATAACGTGGTGCGACGGTTTGCGTACCTCATTGACCCATTAAGCTATACTGGGTGGTGCCTCCGGGCAACTTGAGAGCTACTCCTACCAGGTTGGTCAATGGTGAGAGGTCAGACAAACTCAGTCTCCTGGTCCTCCAGGTTGGGGGTTTGAAATGGGATGGCGTCCATTTCTGTAAAACTAAATCATTGCCATCTCCCCGCTGCCTTGCGGACAGGCTTTTGAGCCAAAGGCTTTGGATGAGGACCCTAATCGTCGTGTCTAGGTCTGGGCGCCCTGGCAGTATCTCAGCCCACATACAACCATGACATCTTCTTCAAACATAAACTTCATCCTGCATCGGCCGTAGCACAGATTATCAAGGGTCGCCTTGTCTGCTGCATATAGCAGGGCGGATAAGTGAAAACATGCTACTGCTGGCGCCTCCCTTCTTTCTTTTCCATCTTTTTCTCTTACTCCCATCCCGACCCCCATTACTAACCTTCCTTCTATAATTCCCAGCTTAATTGATAGCAACCGAAGTGCCACTGGAGTAGAACCATCTGCAGCCACTATCCCACCGCACCTATCGGACGCCTATCGGCAAAAGTCCCTTATAAGGCCACGCTATCCCGTTTCCATGGCAACATTCAACGTTCGCACTCTAAGACAAACAGGTCAACAGGCTGCACTCGCACGCACCTTGGACACACTGGGTATTGATGTGTGTTGTGTGTCCGAAACTAGGATCAATGACCCTAACGGGGTTATTGAATTAACTGCACCCGGCTTATCCTCTCGTTATTGGTTGCACGCATCCTGAGACGCCGATGCAGCACTCACGCGTCAAGCTGGTGTAGGTATCATTCTAAGCTCCAAGGCTAAGCCATCGTTGGTTGATTGGATTCCGGTGAACAGCCGTTTATGTGCAGCCCGTTTGACGACATCAGCTAAGGTTGATTCACGAAGTAGTAAAAAATGCTGTTTGTTTGTGATTTCCGCTTATGCTCCCACCGACTGCAGTTCTAATGCTGTCAAGGACACATTCTATCATGAACTGAACGCGCTACTACGCAGTGCTACTAGTTCAGATATTATAGTACTTGCAGGGGATATGAACGCACAAGTAGGGTGTCTGAACTCTTCAGAAGCTCAGCTAGGTGGTAATTGTGGACTTAACTCCGAACGGACTGACAACGGTGAGCGTCTGCTGCAACTGTGTGTGGAGCACCAGTTGTTCCTTAGTTGCACTGCTTTTAGACGCAGTGGGCTACGAAGTGCCACTTGGCGTCCTCCTGTAGCTGGCCAGCGATGGACCCAAATTGACCACATAGCCATAAGTTACAGATGGCGTGGTTCCATCCTGGATTGCCGCTTATACTGGAGTACCTGTGTCGACTCTGATCATGCCCTGGTACGCTGCCGTTTCTCCGTGAACTTTACCGGGAGGCGCACCAAGTGTCCTCCTACGATTGGCAACGGAGAAATTGTCTCAGTCCTCGGTCAGGCAAGCCTATCAAGAAGCACTGTATACCGAACTTCCGCTGTCTTGTCCTAATGACACTGAGCTTCAGTGGAATAGGATCTCGGCCGCCATGCACGATGCAGGAGCATCTGCTTGTGGCACTATCAGTGGTCACCGCACCAGTCACTGGATATCCTAGAGGTCGGTGAACCTGTTGGAATCTAGAAGACATCTTCCGGCTGGCTCTGAACACAATGGGACCAGATGGACTATTAGGCATGAACTAAAGCAGAACCTACATGCTGACAAGGAAGCCTGGTGGACCAGTAGGGCTCAAGAAAGGAAGGAGGCAGGAGCAGTAGGCAATTGCCGCATGCTCTTCCGGCTGATCCTCACCACTGGTCCCAGAAAACCAGGCGTCAGTGGCACAATAAGAGACAGCGCGGGTGCGCTGATACACAATACGGAGCGCCGTATGGCTCGTTGGGCGGAACACTTTCAAGATCAGTTCAGCTGGCCCCCTGCTCCCAGACCTCTTCCTACTCAGGTGATGTAGGGCGAGCCATGGACGGTTAGTTTAGAGCCTCCGTCAGAGGCCGAGGTTCGAAACGCGATCACAGCCCTTAATCGTTTTCGTGTCGTTGGCCCGGATTCCCTCCCACCTGCACTATTTAAGGATGGAGGTGAGGTCCTCTGTAAAGCACTGACCTCCTTATTCGAATGTATCTGGAAGGAAGTGTCCTGGCTAATTGGAGCGAATCGATTATAGTGGCAATACACAAGAAGGGCAGTCGCACAGACTGTTCTAACCACAGGGATATTAGCCTAACGCCAGTTGTGACAAAATTACTGGCCTCGATTCTCGTTCGTCGCCTCACTGCGGAACGGTAATCTCGGACTAGAGAAGAGCAGGCAGGTTTCCACCCAGGACGTGGCTGTATAAACCATATATTCACTTTGCGGCAGGTGCTAGAGCAGCGTCACGCATACCGCAGACCGACAATAGCTGTGTTCCTCGATTTCAAGAGTGCGTTCGATTCAGTCGACTGATGCATTCTGTTCGAAATACTTGCGCTGAAAGGTGTTGCCACGAAATATGTGAACATCCTTCGTGCTCTATACTCGAACACTACAGGCCGCGTCAGGGTCTACGATGTCCTGTCGGATAGCTTTCCGACCACAAGTGGCGTTCGTCAGGGTTGTCCGATTTCCCCATTTTTGTTCAGTTTCGTCGTGGATTCTATCATGGAGTGTTCCCTTGCGGAATCTCACGATGTAGGCGTTGAAGTGCTGCCTGGTGAAAGATTAGTTGATCTAGATTATGCAGACGATATCGTCTTGCTTTTCGACGATGTTGGGGCGGCACAATCAACCCTGAATAGCCTGTCCAGAGTGGTCTCATTATTTGGTATACACTTCGCACCTTCAAAGTGCAAAGTGTTGCTGCAGGACCACCAGCCACTTGATGACCCCTTGACGCTTGCTAACGAGGAACTCGAGGTGGTTGACCATTTCACTTATCTTGGCAGCTGCATCAGCAATGATGGGCGCATAGAAACTGACGTCAGCTCACGCATTGCAAAAGCCAGAGCTACCTTCTTGAATCTGCGGCATCTTTGGCTACAGAAGGGAGTTTCCCTCCGTCTGAAAGGCTGGGTATACAAGGCCACAGTGAGGGCCGTTCTGCTCCATGGTAGTGAAACTTGGCCCCTTCGGTCTGAAGATCTGAGTCGCCTTCAAGTCTTTGATCATCGTTGTCTGCGAAGCATTGCTGGTGTCGGATGACACCAGCGTGTCCGCAACGATGATGTGCGTAGGCGAGTACTAGGAAGTGATAATCATGCTAGCTCCCTAGAACAACAGATAGCACTGAATAAGTTGCGTTGGCTCGGGCACGTGCTACGTATGCCTGGTCACCGCTTACGTAGGAGGGCCTTGTTTAGTCTGCCAGGTGTAGGGTGGCGCAAGGCTCGAGGTGGACAGAAGTTGACTTAGCGGCGGGAAATGAAGTCACTGACGACCGAACTGGGTGCCGTTGGTCTGTTTCGCCTTCCGGGCTGGAGTCCACGTGACTCGACTTGTGCTTGGCTCGAGACTTTACAGGACGTGGCTCGCAGTAGACACCAGTGACGCGTCTGCTGCCGTCTCCTAATCGGATTGCCTGTTTAAAGTGTGTTTGGTGCTGAGTTATCTGCGGGGTAATGGCTGATTATGACGCGTGGCAGTGGAAGCCGCAAGGAAGCTGCCTCGCCGATGCCGCCTTATCGTTGCACGATAGCCAGCTGTTTGTGACAGTATGTTGTCTACACAAGGTGTAGGCGCCTTGACCCGGAATGTTTACTTAGGGCATTAAGGTTTTCAGGTTAGTCCCTCTTCTCCTCGTCTTCTTATTCTTTATTTCATAGGTTTTCATGTTTGTATGGCAGCGAAGCATCAGTTCAAATGGCTGATATACTGCTGTTGATGATGATGATGATGATGATGATGATGATGATGATGATGATGAGGATGATGATGATGATGATGATGATGATGATGATGATGATGATGATGATGATGATGATGATGATGATGATGATGATGATGATGATGATGATGATGATGATGATGATGATGATGATGATGATGATGATGATGATGATGATGATGATGATGATGATGATGATGATGATGATGATGATGATGATGATGAATGATGATGATGATGATGATGATGATGATGATGATGATAATGATGATGATGATGATGATGATGATGATGATGATGATGATGATGATGATGATGATGATGATGATGATGATGATGATGATGATGATGATGATGATGATGATGATGATGATGATGATGATGATGATGATGATGATGATGATGATGATGATGATGATGATGATGATGATGATGATGATGATGATGATGATGATGATGATGATGATGATGATGATGATGATGATGATGATGATGATGATGATGATGATGATGATGATGATGATGATGATGATGATGATGATGATGATGATGATGATGATGATGATGATGATGATGATGATGATGATGATGATGATGATGATGATGATGATGATGATGATGATGATGATGATGATGATGATGATGATGATGATGATGATGATGATGATGATGATGATGATGATGATGATGATGATGATGATGATGATGATGATGATGATGATGATGATGATGATGATGATGATGATGATGATGATGATGATGAGGGGACCTAATCCTAACCTACCTTATTTCGACTGGGAAGATTGACCCTGATTTGTCCTGGCTATTTAGTCTTGCTAGATTATCTGGTCTCCGCGGGCATTGCATGAAGCTGGACAAACCGCTGTGCGATCGAGTTAGAACGGAGACCGTTGTCGCGTCGAGTCATCGAGCGCTGGAACTCGCTTCCAGAAAATGTCAAGGAAGCTACGGTTAAGGGGTTTGGTCGTCAACTAGATGCTCTTGGATGGCAACACGAAACTTTTCCTTTTCCCTGACTAATTTCCATCTTCATACTTCGATTCTCATTTCAGTAGTTTTCCTCACCATCGGTATTATCTTCTTCTTTTAACTCTTACTCTACGATGTTTCTTCCTCTCTTACTTTACGTAACTGGCATAGCAGAGACAGCTACTGCATGGAACGTGGGTATTAAGTTGGTGGACCACGGTGCTTTTTCGGGTGTTTTCGTTTTAAATCCATCAAGAAGTCAGAGCACCCATATCAACTCCTGGATCAACGGCCCGCTCAAGAAGGAACACTTACGGGATTCATCCTATCGTTCCAGTCCCACCTGAACTTGAACTGTCAATTGTTTTTGTTATGTGAATACCTCGTTCCCTGTAAACTATGCGCCGCTTGTAGCGCGCCGGAGTGTCACTATAGCAGAGCAACAGGTAAGTTGCCGTCGAGCGTAGCCTACATTGGGCGCGTCGTTTCCTCTTCTCTGCTTTCCCATTTCGTCTTCGGAGTTATATTAGCTAACCGTCGTACGTTTTCACTCCTTCCATCTAATTGCCTCGTGCTCGGTCATCTTTCGGCAGCTGTGACAGTACCACCCAACTAGCCACAAGATGTAACACAAGCACACCATTTATCCAGCTCCGATACTTACTAGGTGATTTTCCAGTCGCCTACGAAGTTTTTCTTTACCTTTCAGAACCTCTCGGTCTAATACGACCCGCGTACGCCCCGGGCACAGAAGCCATCGGAACGCACGACCGGACGCATATTACACCGCAAATACCCCTACGCTGACTTTACTGTCAAGACAATTCGGATTATCTATTAACTTCCTGCTTTCCTTTTTTATTTGGAATTATAACGGCTTGTAAGAATAATGCCTTTCTTGAGTCCTGACTGGCGATGTCCTGGGGACAAGTGGCTCAGATCTAGCGAGTGTGGTAGTCTTTGGGAAACGGCGAAAATATATCGCTTGAGAATGTTTGAGGGAATAAACGAAATGGTGGTGAAACGGTAATCTGCATCGTCACGTATGCTATCTGCAGTGTATACCGGCAATCAATAAAAGAGGAATCTGGACTTTTCGGTGCATGCATGAGCGATCTTCTCAACGTCGTCATTTACCAGCCACACGTCCGCCTGAAGCTTGGGAACGTTCGTGACGTATGATCCTTTAATAATCTATTTTATATCAAGCCTGGAACAACAACGATTAGTGAAGCTTTTTTAAACTTGGATATGAAGGCAGCCGTCAGAGATATTCGCCGATTCAACTATGTGTGTAAGGTACCCGTCCTTCATATCCACCAAGGTGACTTTAGGTCGTTCATCTGTTGTTGACTCACCATTTCCACAAACTCACTGGCCGGCTACAGTTGTTTTTGGTTGAACTGTTGAGAACCATCTTACTGCAAGGTACTTCTTATACGGGTCCATGTTCACATTTCAGTGCAAGTTAGTTGTAATCAAACTGCGTTGTTTCGGCGACTGCTGTCCGATCTCTCCACTAACCTCGAGAGGCACAAATATGATCACATTGGCAGTGGAATTTTATGGCAGCGTCACTTCAAGGCGCTAGAAGAGATGAATTCCGCCTTGGACGGATTTGATATTGAGAAGGTGAATGTGCTGTTGTTATTGTTACATGTACTTACTTGAGCGAGGTTTTGGCCCATCTACATGTGTTATCAACTCGGTTTATGTTCAACGTAGGCAACATTCGTCAGTTTTCCTGTTGCATTTGAACAGAAGGCTCACGTCGCTTTTGCTCATCTCCACCACTCGACTTCAGCCATTGAAAGAGTGGAGCCTTCTGTGCTACGAGCAGAGCGCTTTTGCTCCATAGTTCTAAGAAATGACCTGTTTGTGCAAAGATGTTCAGAGACTTGTAACCGCCTATATCGAAAACACTCGGTCGCTATAAACTTAGGTTCATTATGCCTTAGGGAAAAGTCGGAAGAAGGCGAATAAACAGACGAGATAAACGTTTATTGTCAAAGCGTACAATTCCGCTAGCTAATGACATCGTAAAAAGCTTCTAGGTAAGGGGAGAGAGGTGGTCCCCAACATAGACATCACTGTCACTCTTCGAGGCGCGTGAAGTGCGATTCGTCTTGTTGACTCCAACACATTCACCGTTCGAACAATCTTCCTACGTTACCTAATTTCAAAATGAGACCGTATTTTTATAATATTTTATACATCGTTCCCAGACAAACAGGGAAGTCTCCAGGTTGCTTCACGCTACATTCTGAGCATTGTTGGTGTACGATGACAAAGTCATGCTAGTTATGATAACTTACGCCTACGGAATTTCGAGTCAAGTAAACTACCGACCGTTGAGCCGCAGCATCTCACTACATCTGTGATTGTTTTGCACGCCAGCTCAGCGTTTAACTCGCTGTACCCTCTTTGCCTGCACTGAGGCCGTCTGGAAACGAAAGCTAAGTGGCCGACGTGTGCCTCATGCTCAACATTTGGAAGCACAACTCTCAACGTCAACGGTGGTCGGACGATCTCGACTCCCGAGCTAGGGGCGCAAGAGTACACTCAGTTGCTAATGAATGAGATTACTCGCTTTAGTACGTCTTAACACACTTTTTGTCTGCGTTATCGTCTCCGGTGTCTTCTCGGTCTTTTCTATCTTCTTTCTAACGTTGACTTCCGACCTTCTAGGTTGCCGCACCTTTCATCGCTCATGAGGCATGGGCGCATGATTATGCACGCTGGACACCGATTTAACTCTTGTTTCCTCTGTCTGAGTAGTGTCCATGCACGGCCATCGTAGTACCACTTCTGAGTCGTCATTCGTCTTCTTAGACTTTCTTGCAGTCGCTTGTGTGGGAGAAACCCAATGCAGCAACCTACCTGATGCAAGCATCAGAGTTCTTGTTCTTACAAGGCACAAGCGCTACACTGCGCTTAGACACGTTCAAATAAGAGCTTGTGATCCTCTGAAAGCATAAGGTAGGTGTGTTCGTGAGTAAATCTGACTTATGGTAACAGCCGCTTGTCATGTTTTACTTTAGGCGCTGCTTTTCCGTTCCACTTGTCGTTGTATGGGTTGGTTGGAGTGCAACATTCCCTTTGGTTGCAAACACATTGTACGTAATTTGGTTAACTGAGGGCCATTGCAGATCAGTTCTTCCAGTATTCCATGCTGAGTGAAGTGACATTTGAGTTGTTTACTGCTTTCGCGGTGGTGGTGATGCCATGTAGATCAGTATACTAATCACTATCAGCGAACCATGACTGCCACAGAATGGATTCACTGCTACCATCGCATGATCCATTTGGAGCATCAGACAGCATCACCGGTTCATTGATATTTCGAATTTTATGGGTGCTTCTTACGGCACATTTCACGGCATGGTCCTTTTTGACTTGTCATCACAGACCAGAATATCAGTTCTTTTGCTCTATTAGTGTTTGGTTAATGACCAGGTGAACCTCCTGGGCCTGTTCCAACATACCTTGTCGTGAGTCGTACGACTGTGGGATCCAGCTGATGTGATGATCAAGTTTTACGATTAATTACTCCGGATAGAGATTTTAGTCATTCCTCATGTGCAAGCAGCCTTGATGTCATCATCATCATCATACACGTTAGCTAGAGGTGGGGAACACCTCAGCTACTGTGCCGCAATACAACGAAAAAAAGGAGAGAAAAAACAACTGGTGAAAGCTGGCTGAGCTACCGGTAACGGAAGGGCATCGTTCCGGTAAGCTACCAGCCGGCTGCTGTGCACCCAAAAAATTATATAAGGCTAAGTAATGAGATCGTGGTTGGAGCGGGAGGCTAAGAGGGATGGGGTGGGACGAAGAAACTCACAGCACGAACGCCACTGAGGTCGGCTCCTTGCCATATCAGCAAGTGTGTCCAACCAAACGTGTTCATCGTCTTTCGGACCCCAACCAGGGAGCCGAGACGCTCCAACCGGGGCCAGCTCAGAAGTGAGGGTCTTCACTTGAATCACTTCCCCATACTACGGCCAATATTTCACCTGCGAGAACCCTGTAACACCCGAGGACATCGTTACAAACTCAGGGTCCCCAGCATGAACAAAGTATCACATCAGCTTTGTATCGAACGAAGAATCGTAAACTTATTAAATACACTACCAGAAGGATTAATAGAGGCCGATTCTGTGAAGTGTTTTAAAACCCGTATCGACGATTATTTTGGAAACCTGTGCTTTTGTGAAACGATGCACATACAGTGCCAAAAGACTACATTGTATGTCCGGAAATAATGACGCTAGTACAAATTTCTAACCGAACACGGATAAACGATCAACAGACCAGACACAACTGCTGATAATTCACAAGTAAATTTTGATTTTTCGTAATTCGGTAGAGTTGTACAGAAACCTTTCTACTTGCTCTTAAATACAGTCTCAGTCTCATTCCTCTGGACCAAGTCATCGCTTGGCCACCCCTCCTCTTCTTCCATCCACACCCCGGCGCGCAAACAACACACGTCGCGGAAGTCGGTGGGTTGGCATGCGTAACACGTGGCCGAGCCATCGGAGTCTGATGCGTGAAATAACGGTGCTGAGCGGTTCAGTTCCTTTTCCTGTGCCGTAAACAATGTGTCGAACACGCTCGTTGCTCACGCGGTGTTCCCACCAAATGTGAGCTAAATTACGAAGGCACTGGTGGTCGAACGTAACTAGCCTCTTCAGGTCCGCTGCTTTAAGCGGCCAGGTTTCACAACCGTACAATAGGGTCGAACGTACTGCTGCATTGTACACTCTACCCTTCAGGGCAAGAGTGATGTCGCGCCGACGCCATAAGTGGCGAATGTTAGCAAAAGCGCCCCGAGTTTTTGCTATACGATTCGTGATTTTTATCTTCAATCCCACGGACGCTGATACAACTTCCCAGGTAGTTGAATTTTTGAACGACTTCTAGCTAATCCGCACCAAGGGTCAGCGTAGGAGGCGGTCCAGACCAATCTTGGAGAAATGCTTTGCACTTCGAAAGTGCGAAGCAAAGCCCGAAGTGACGGACAGCTAGTGCTAATCTGTCCACTGCCGCTTGGCACGTTTGTGAGCTGTCACAGATCAGGGCAATATCATCAGCATACTCTAAATCAAGAAGTCGTTCTCCTGGGAATAGCTCCACACCTTCTAAGTCGTGTCCTGTAAACGCGATTTCCATGACTTCGTCAACAGCGAAGTTGAAGAGGAAAGGTGACAGCGGGCATCCTTGTCTCACGCCGCTGGAGATACTAAAGGGCGACGACAACTTGCCGTAAGCCCTCACTCTGCACGAGCTACGCGCATATAATGCTCGGATAATATTCACATATTTCTCAGGTACACCTTTCCTGAGTAGACAGTCCCAAAGTGCATGTCTATCCACCGAATCGAATGCACCTTTGATATCGAGGAACAGGACAAAGGTGGGCCGCCAATATGTGTGACCGTGCTCCGACAACTGACGCAAGGTGAAGATGTGGTCAATGCAGCTACGACCTCGACGAAATCCAGCTTGCTCTTCACGAATCTGGCTTTCACGATTGCCAGTCAGTCTGTGAAGGATAACAGAGGCAAGCAATTTGGAGGCGATGGAGATCAGACTGATTCCTCTATGGCAGCTGCATTCCGATCGTGAGCCTCCTTTGAAAATTGGGACTATGATGGAGCGGCTCCAATCGGTTGGGACAGTTTCCTGCTCCCACAGTCTCACTAGTAACTCGTGTAAATCATCCACAAGAGCAGGTGCCCTGAAATTGAAGAGGGCTGGAGGAAGGTCATCAGGTCTCGCGGCTTTATTTAACTTCAACAGTTTGATCCCATGTTCGAACATGAGCCTTGATGTGGTTGAACATGTATCCCGACTGGTGGCATCGCGACGAGACTGAACCTTGACCTGGTGCGATGGTTTGTGTGCCTCATTGATCCATCCGCTGGGTAGTGCTTTTTGCACCTACAGAGCCACTCATACAAGATTGGCCAATGGTTAGAAGTCAGACCGACTCAGTCTTTTGGCCCTCCAGGTTGCGGGTTGGAGTGAAGGTGGATCCTTACTTTATAAAACGAACTCTGCAGCCATATGCCAGAACCCCTCTCTCTTACGGTCAGGTTTTCGAACCGAAGGCTTTGGTTGAGAATCCTAGTCGTCCTCTTGCCTAGATCTGGACAAACTGACATTATCCTGCCCACACAATACAATGGATTTCCCTTCTAACAATTTCTTGATCTAGCCATCGTAGAGGATAATAAACGGTGCCCTATCTGTTGTATCGAGCAGGGTGGATAGGGGTAGAGGTGCTGCTGCTCAATTCTTCCTGTATTCCTATTTCCCATATTGCGCTTTTTCATTCTTATCGTCCCGTTCCAACCTCACTTTTACCCCTCTGTTTTCAACCCGTCAATTCTTGGCCATCCTCCGTCTTGCTTCAATAGTCGCTTGTCTTCTAGCTTGGACTCACACAATCACAGGGTCTCGCTCCAGTCCAACCAACAAGTCTGTGTTCAACCAATCGGACGACATGAGTTCATTATTTTCTATTTGGAGTCCGCGATTCTCGCTAATACTGGCATGCCTCAACGTGTGCACTTTGCTACAGATTGGCCAACAGGTTGCACTTGCGCGAACACCAGAGACCCTAT